ATCCTGATTCTTGGTCCAAAACCTTTGCATTTTCCAGGATGAGTTTGGAACCTTGAAGATGCCAAATTCTCTGTTTAAATCCTGCTTTTCCGTATGGATTTGGCATTTTTTAAGCACTCTTTTTTTCTCATTCCCAAGCCATTCCATGATTCCAGAGGGCTCAGATCCTGATTCTTGATCCAAAACCTCTGCGTTTCTTGGGATGAGTTTGGAACCCGAAGGCGCCAGATTGCACCGGGATAACTGCGCTGCATTTCCTATGCAGTTTTTCATTATTTTCCCTAATTCCCGAGCTGTTCCGTGACCCAAAATTCCCTTTTCCTGCAGGTGGGGCCCTGCCCTTCGTCAGCCCCGCGCTGGCCGTGCACAAGTCGGCCTCGGCCGTGGAGCGGCAGCGCGAGTATCTCCTGGACATGATCCCGCCCCGCTCCATCCCACAGTCGGCCACGTGGAAATAATTCCCGAGGGAGGACTTTTCCAGGCTCTGCCATCCTTTCTTTTCTACCACAATTCCGTGGAATCTGCTTTAATCCCAGCTGGATAACGCCCCGAGGCTTTCTAGGATGCAGCACCACCACTCCTCGTCCGTCCCTGCCGGGAGAAGCGACCGCGTCGGGGTGGCCGAAGCCCGGCTCCGTTGGCTCCCAGATTTTTCATGGAAGCTGGCAGGGAAAGGGGGAAGAATTCCTTAATTTTTTTTCTTTTTTTGGCTTTTTTTCCATATTTAGTTTTGAAATTTTTTTGGCACCAGCACAAAAAAAAAAAAACCAACAACAAACCATGAAAGGACTCAGCGACTCCTCTCTGCCTTCGCCGACGCCGAACTTTTTGCTGGGAACGCTCCGGAATTCCGGAATTTTGGGGCGTGGAGAGAGGAATTCCAGCCCCATCCTGCGTTTAGTGAGCCGAGTTCATGGCTGCTCCTGATCCCTGCTCCTCCTGCAGCCGGGAAAGCAGGCGGCACATCCCCAGATTCCCAAAATTCCAACGATCCCGAGGAGAAGAAGGAGAAAAGTGCAAATCCCTGGTTCCGGTTGAGTTTGGTTTGGTTTTCTCCCTTAGGGATCGGCTGCCGCCCAAACCTTGGCTGGGAGGTGGGAATTGCTGCGGGAAATTCCCACTTTTTTCCTTGGATTCTGGTTGGAATCAGACTTTGGAACCGTTGGTAGTTTCCAAACCTTGCAGTTACTGAGAGACAAAATCCACCTTGGTTCTTTCTCATCCCGTGAATTTTGGGCCTTCCCGACGTTCCCAGAGACTCCAAAGCGAAACTTTTTGGGAATTTTTTTTCCTTTGGGAGGGTTGGTTGGGTTGGTTTTGTTTCTTTGGGTTTTTGTTTTCCTTCTTTTTCTGTTGTTGTTTTGAGGGATATTATTCCAAAATTTATAGGAATTCCAGAAGCTGATGCAGGCAGGGAGGGCTGGGAGCTGTTCCCAATCCTTCCCTCCGTGGTTCAAGTTCTTCCAGGCATCCCAAGCATGCTCCTGTATCCATTTGGGATGGAGTTTTCCATCGTTTTTTTGGGAATTCCAGAGGTTCAACCCAAAATCCATCCAGGGGCCAGTTTGGTTTCATTTTTGGTTTCTCATCCTCTTTTTTTCCTTGGGCTTCTTCCTGAATTCCAGACGAATCCAAGGGGCAGAATTCCAGGCCTTATTCCAGTGAGGAGAATTCTTTGGGGAATTTTCTTGGGGAAATTATAAATATATATAATTTAGAGATCTATATATATTAAAAAAAAAAAAAAGTGTGTGTAGGGGGGGGAAATTCAGGAAAATCCGGATTTATTTTCTTAGGAATCGCTGAAGGCAAGAATTCCTTTGGGGTCAGCCCCCTGGGATCCGAGGGACAAACCCCCTCCTCCCTTTTCCCACTTTTCCTGGGGTTTCCATGTTTAGGGATTTAGTTTAGGGAAAAAAACCAACACAACAACCTTGTTTTCCAAACTGGGATTTGTTGGATAAAAGCCCCGGAATTCCCAGCTGGATGTGGATTTTGGGGTGTTTTCCATAGGGTTGTGAAGAGCTCAGATGTGGGAATTGGGTTGGAATTTTGGAATTTGGAGTTTTCTTTTCATTCCAAGCTTGGACTGGGAGATGCCACCAGTGTGGAATTCCTTCAGTTCCATTGGATTTTATGGAAAAGTTGCTGTTCCTTTCCCACGTGGAATTTTTTGGGGTTAGTTCAGGGGAATTTTCCTCTCCTGTTTTTCTTCCTCATGGATGCCAACGTTTGGAAAAAGTTCATTTATTCCCCCAAAAAAAAAAAATCCCAACAAAATTCCTCCAATTAAAATAATTTTATTTTTGGGGGGGGTGGGTTCATTTATTCCCAGAGTTTGGATGATTCCTGAAAAAAAAAAAAACCAAAAAACAGGGAATGGAAGAGTCACAGAAGGATTTAATGGGATAAAAACGATGTCAAAACTTTCTGGATCCCAGCAGAATTCCCTTGGAATTTGGAATTTCAGCCAATTTTGTTTCATTAAAATAATCAGGAATGTTGGAATTGAAGGATTTGGAATTAAAAATCCAAACAAGTCCCTGCATCCAGATTTGCAAATATTCCATCCTGATTTTATTTGGGTGGATAATTCAGGATAAATCCCAAAGAAAGATTATTTGGGAGATGGAGGGGACATTTGTTTGGAAGGGAAAATCCAGCAAAGATTGGGGCTGGAAAACCAAAATATTTGACAGGATGGGGCTGAAACTCAAATTCCCACCTGGAATGCGACTCCTGGGATCCAGCCTGGTTCTGACGTGGTTTTTTCCGGAACGTTCTTGGAATGCTGCCGGGAATTTGGAGGGTTTGTTTGATTCCATCCACGCTCCCGCCAGAGCTGGGATCAGTCTGGGAGAAGATTCCGTGCTGGAAGGCCGGGATGGATTTCCCTGTGCCCGTGGGGGTTTTTTGGGATTGGGATGGTTCAGGTTCAAAGCTGTTCCAGCTCTTCAATACAGATTTTCCAAACCTCTTCCCAGTCTCCTTTTTCCAGGAAAAAGCCCCACAAAAAAAATGGGAAAAATTTTGGGGGGGGAGGGGGGGAAATCTCAAAGAAACAGAAAATTCCCATTGTGGAATTCTGCCCTGGAAGGGAAAAGTTTGGGAATGGTGGAGGAGGGGGGAATTTGGGAACAAATCCTGAGTTTATTGATCCCCTTTGGGATTTGGGATTCTGTGATTGGATCCCCTTTGGAATTCCGGAATCCCAGAGATCTCCTGGATCCCCTTTGGAATTCTGGAATCCCAGAGATCTCCCGGATCCCTTTTAGGATTCCCAGAGATCTCCCGTTTCCATGGGAATCCCACCCAACCCTCCCGTTCCCGCCGACCCCTCGGGATCCTGGATCCCTTTTCCCTAAAGCCATAAAATTCCCGCCGGGAATTTGGGATTCCCGCTGGGATTTTGGGGTTTCCTGGGACGCCGCGGGGAGCGAGGAAGCGCCGTTGTAATTTAGGTTTTAGCGCCTTGTGAAATAAAGAGATCCCGGATTTTCATGGGACGATTCCCGCGGTGGAACGGGGGCAGCCGTGTGGTTCTTCTTGGATTCCCTTCCTGACAGTTGGGATTTGGAATTCCGCTAAAAAAAAAAAGAGTTGGAATTTTTTTTTTTTTTTTCTGTCTTGGGCTCTTCTTCCTCAGCGTTCCCAGCTTGGGAAAAAGGTGAATTCCTGAATTTTTTATATCCCAGGGATTCCTGCGCCTGCCATTCCTGAGGAAAACAAAGAAAATCCAAAATTCCAGCGGATTCGGGATTGGGTTTTATTCTGAGTTTATTTTTATCCTCATTTTGGGAATTCTTCTTTCCCTCTGGATTCTCCCAGCCAGTTATCCCTTTGTTTTTGGGGAAGAATTGGAATTGAATTCCCAAAGTTGATTCCCAGATGGAAAGCTGGGAATTCAGGCTGCAGGAAGGGGTGAAATGGAGGAAATTACTGGAGATTTTGGGGGAGAACCTCAAATTTGGCTCATTTTTCCCTCTCCTTTGGGAAGCAAGGAGAACGGGGTGGGATTTTTTTCCCTTGGATTTGTTGGGACTCAAAATATTGCAGAGTAAATCCCAAAATTTAATAATTCTCACTAATCCCGTCAGTAGAAGGATCCAGAATTGTTAATTAATCAATAATTAATTGGAGGGGGGGGTTGGAATTGGAGTGACAATAAACAGAGAAACTCCTGGATCTGCCTCACATTCCCAGGGTTTTGGGGGTCGGGATGGATCTCGTGGATCTCCCAGACAGAGCCGGATCTGCTCCTTCCTCCCCTGAGGATTCCCCCCCAGAAAATCGGGAAGACGGGAGAGGGGAAAAGGAGGCGACAAAAATCCGGGATTTTTGTGGATTTCCTGTGGAATTTCATGGATGGAGCAAATCCATAAATCCAGAGCCTTCTCCATTCCCAGCTGGAATTCCTGCTCCAGCAGCCTTGGATCTCACCTGAACATTCCAGGAAAAGCCAGGGAGCCCATGGATGTTTCCCTCTGGAAGGAGAGCGGGCCAGGGACATTCCCAGAGGGATTTCTCCCACAGTTGACGGCCATGTGGGAATTCCCACGGGATTGTCCCAAATTCCCGTGGAATTGGGTGGGAGGATGATCCCGAGGAATTGATGTGGCATTGCCCTTTTAAGCGCGCGTTGCCCCTTTAAGTAG